AATGATCCTGTGTGTTGCTTCTGAAACAGCTGGTGCTTCTCAGCTGCAGGCAAATACCAGTCTTCAGCAAATGATAAATCCTACCTAAATAAAAAAGCTTCAACCCAGTCCACACTGCGACATCTAAAAAGAGCACAAGAGCAAAGCAATATGTTCTTGAAAACTAAACGATGTGTAAAAGACCAAAAAAGAAGTGATTTGGATTTCATTCTTTTGGATATGCCAGCTCTCGGCTTTGCCTCCTCGTGGTTGTCTGCAGTTCAGCAGAAGTCCACAGCTATGGAACAGTCTGCACTGACGTCTCTTAATCTGGATGCCACCACTGAAGGTAAAAAAACAGATGTAAATTGGCAGGACTTGTTAAAAATCTTCATTCGAACGTTGTATTTGTGATAAAACAGGCTTCAAATTCCAGGCTGAGCAAACGCCTTGTTCCCGTGCTGCTAATAAAATACTGAGCCAACTAAGGCCTGCGTGGTGCAAGCAGGTCCCGTTCCCAATGCTACCGTATAAATGGGGCTCTGGGAATACGGGGGGATGTCTCCGCGGTGGTAAGGGATTGTTTCCCCGAGTTCAAGGTAGGCATGTACGTCTAGGATAATAACCTTGGAAAGCCAAATTCAACGTGAACCATGAATTTTGTGGACACGGGTTTTCCATCTCTGAACTCTACACTATCCAGGGACCGTCACGTCGTAACAGCAGCTCCCTAGGTGACGGTACGCCGTTCATCCCGTAAGGTTCAGCACAAGTTACCTGCAGATTCTCTCGCTAGGCATGCAACCAAGGCAGCCTTGCTGCAGTCTCGGCAGTCAACCACACAGAAATGTTGTGCTTACCATATGCTGCAGACTAGAAGGTGCTACATTTCTACTTCAGAGCACAGCCACAATTCTGTTCTCCACCGAACACATCTCGTGCTTAAAACTGCCAAATGGAAAATAATTAAATTCCTCTGTCTCTGGGATGTAAACTTTTTCTATTGCAGCTTTACGTTGGGTAAAAATACAAACTAGAATTAGAAATTCCCGAGCCGTCGTGGAAGCGTAGGGACCTGGACACTGCGGAAGGCATACAGACCTGCCTATGTGAGAGGCAGCACCAAGGGGGTAACGCAGGCCTTTGGAGCAGAGGCTGACTGCTATCACTGCGTACGCAACTTGGGGTATGGTGACGCCACAATAAATCAGGGCAAAGGCTATTAGTTGTAGCGTCCACGCAAACAAGGTTATGCTCAGTTCAGCGGTAAGCGGTCCGTGCTGATAGCAAGTGGCAAAGCTGGCGATTCCAACAGCCAGAAAATACCCTGTAGAAACAGAAGAGTAGGACATGGGGAAAAAGGTGGAAACAACCCATATAAACACCCTTAGTTTGAGTGGATTTAGGGAGCTTTGGGGTATTCCAACGCCCATGGCTTAGAAGAAAAAAGTACTCCATGAATGAGTCACTTGATTTTGGATTTTAATGGGCGGATATTCACCTAACCACTAAATTAAACCAAAATCTGCAGCACATTTTTTGATACTTTTCTTACCCAACAAGTAGTTTCTGTGTTCAGACCACAACCACTGCATATTCTCTTTGAAGCAGTAAATAAAATAGAGGGAGGACATCCAGCAGCCACTCATTAAGATCCAGAAGGTACTGTGCTGGAAATTAAAAAAAAAAAAAAAAATTAAAAAAACTTTCACAAAATAGAGAAATTCAAGTCAGAATCAGGACCGTGGTGTGCAAGGGAGCTCACGCAGAAAACGAGATGCAGTCCTCGGCAGACCTAGGGGCCTTAGGAGCTGCATTAGACCTTGACTGTATGGTGCTCTGCACGCTACAGCTAACCAGTATCGATTCCAAGTGGAGCAGCTGCATCTCTGTATCGTGTCCTAATACCAGGGAATAAACCGACTGCAGTGTGTTCCCAATTAACGTATTTCAGCAGTATTGTGGGGATGCACGGGCTCTGTAAAGGACATACCACATCTGCCTTACAACGAACTGTCTCTGGTAAAGGGAAGAGGATCTGTCCCAGTTGCCATTAACGCTACATTTTGACTTTGGTTGATTCCTAGGTTCAAACATAATCTTAGCTTCAGACCAATGAAGGTAATTTATGTTCCAGAATAAACTCTTCTTGTACATCAGCAATCCCCTGTTTCGTTCAAACTCAGGAGCAAGCTAACTAGAACTTGATTCTGACCTAATTGTATTTACTTGACGCAAGCAACCTGCAGTCACTGCAGTGCAGTCACCTGGCCACAGGAAGGTCAGAATCTGTCTCTGTACGCTTCCCTTACTGGATTATGATGTTGATTATTATTACGGTTTTGTTTTATAAATGTAGATTTACCCTTGGAATGAACCTTTTCAGTGTCAACAGGACAAAGACGAGCAGAGCAAGAACACCCAGTATTACTCCAGAAAGGTAAAAGAACTTGGTACTCCTGTAAGAGAACAAGAGAGAATACGGTGAGAAGGATAACTGGTAATTGGTTAAGAATCCAACATGTGTAAAACCAGCAGTGATCTTCAATAAGAGCTTAATACAGCTGGAAGTCAGAGTTGTAGGTACATGGTGAACAGGCCCAGTTTAGGTATTAAATCCACGTAAGGAAAAATTGCCAACAGATACTTAAGGTGACTGGAATTGTGGCAGGCTGGGAAATCGTGTTGTTTTTCCTAAAGCTCACACTATTTCAGATTTCACTGACCACCCAGTTTCTAGTAATTTTGTTTTCTTCTATGTACCAATACGGTTCTGTACGGCAAGAAAAGTTTTATTTTTTTTAATTTAAAACAACTTCCACAAACCCACAAGTTGTTGCTTTTTTTCTAAGCTTATACATTTATAAAGTCTAATTTTTTTAATTCAGAGTGAACTCTATAAAACCTATTGCTGCTCTGCTTGTTTTAGAGGTGCCTCCTGACGATTAATTTGTGACTCACTTTGCTTTGAAGTCATGGGCCGCATATTTTGCTAGAGCAATTAAGTGTCCTCCCTTACACGCTATGCAAAACGTGCATCAGAAGAACGATGGGGAAAGGTTGGCACGAGGGTGGAGGCAGCCGAGGCCCCAGATGACCTCATCTGAAGCATTTCTCCCTGCAGGAAGGCGTCATGGATAACACAGGCAGCACAGTTCAGCGTTCAGCTAACCTCACTGCTCTACAAAAGGGAGAGAGCACTTCTCTGAATCCACACACTTGCTCGCTGAGGACTTGGGGTCGCCCGGTGCGGGAAGCTTGGATACAAGAACCCTAGCACAGCTAATGGAATGATCAAGTGCAGCACTCCAACGTACGTCCCAGTCTGTCCAAACACAAGCGGTATGAGCAAGTTTTACATGTATGTTTGGTTTCCTTATTTCACTTTCCCAAAGAACCGCCTCTGTAACTTAAAAAACAGACCAAAGATGTACAGGCTTTGGGAAAGAAGGTCAAAATCCAGCAGCTAGTACTCACCTGCTCAGGCTGTTTGCAAAATGGAACAGAAAAATTCCAGCTGCAAACAGAAACAAGAGCTTGCCATCTAGCACTAAAAAAAGAGGGGAAAAAATAGAAACGGACTTTAGACTAATTCAGTTTGAAATGTTGATTATATAAAATAAGAACAGAAAAGTCACAAGCTTCTTACAGAAGAGATGGTACGTTCAGTAACACTGGCAATACCAATCTATCATCTGAACCAAAAGCCTTTTTACTTACTTTCTCGTTCCACAATCACAGTGTACGGTTTGGTTTTGAAGGGTTGTATTTTGAAACAAAAATCCTCTCCATATTGTTTCACGCTTATGGAAGTTTCTGTAGATATCTCTGGTTTCCAAAAGATCTGAACAGCACATGCAGCAAACTCAAAAACAGTTTCTGAATTACGACAGTTGCTTTTTTCTGCAATAGGCTCAAACCTAAACAGTTCTCTGCTGTTAACTTTTACCTAAAAGCAAACAACAGAATACACTGTGACATAGCTCGTAATCACTGGGGCTTTTTGTTTTTCTGACCATTATAGCACAGAAGCCATACATGTGATAATGAAAATCAGTACAGGGAGCTCAAGAATAAGATGCTAGAGCAATTCTTAGTTGTTTAGTATTGGTTACGAATATTATGCAAAGATCAATTATTTAGGCCTTACAAGGTCATTCAGAGAACTCGATGTCAGCGAAGCTCTACAGAGGGGCCTCAGTCCATCCAAAAGCTCAGTGGGTTTGCTTCTACCATGACACTTTCCCACACACAAATTTCTAACAAAGCCAGTAATATTTGACTGCCCACAGTTTCCTTTGTGGATGTTCATATGCTTTCCCATTCCCCACCTGAGCCGTAAGAAACCGGACTTGCTTTTCTTGTAGTTAATAATGCATTCTTCAAGATAGGGATGGATGCGAAATAACGAAAATTAAAGATATCATAACCAGAAATTTAAATAGAAGCAAGTTCCTGTTGGGTATTTTGGGGTTTCTTGCTACTTCTTAGCACCTTCCCCCACCCAACTGGTAAAAGATCCTCTCCATCTTCTGAGATGGGATGATCTTCCTGGAGATCATGATTCACTGGGAGCTCTCGATCAGGGCCTGTTAGACAACAAAGGCCCATCTACAAAAAAGTGATGCAACAGGTAATAAAACAAGCTTCTGCTGGGAGAAGAGACAACACGTCAGCAAGCAATTTTTTGAGGGAAAAAAAGCTTAACTTCCTGCTTTTAAACATTTACTCCAGGAAAGGTTGTGTCGGCTGGAGGGTTTCACCACCTCAAGTCTGCTACAAACTTCTTGAGGGAGATAGTCCTGGGAACAGCCAAAGACATGTTCCACTTCCTTCTATCGGAGAGCAATTCTCTCCAACAGAGACGAAGTGAAACTGTTTCCTTCCTTTGTCTGAAGACATACTTCCCACCAAAAAAGGAACCGCACAAGATAGTCATCTTGATCCTTTAGATGTCATTGCTGACCCTGTGAAGAGATATTTATGTTGCTTCGCGCTACTCTCTAAACACGTTTCGTGTTAAGATGCTATGTTACTCATATGTTACTCAGAAAACCAGAAATGCACTGCTACTGCTGGTTTTTTCATTAGTTAAAAATCTAATACAACTCAGGTTCCTATGCTGTGGCCTGGCATGCCGCAGGGAGCGAGTCCCAGAGCTGCATCTCATCCTCAACTGTAGCAGTTGTATAAGGGTGTTTGGTGATAGGCAAAAACGTGGTGAACAGTGCTCACCGGTAGAAAAGATGTGCAACAAAACCACCAGCAGCACTGGGTTAATGTTTGTGTGGCAGCTTACTGAAAGCCGCCTTGACATCCTTCTGATGGAGACCAAACCCTGCTGCATCTGAAGCAGAGGGTGACAGCGCTGCATTTTAGGGCCCTACTTACGCACGGGTCAAACAAAGTGAATCACGCGGGGATTCTTTACGGTATCGTTACAAGATGACACAGCTTTCATCTTGCTAACTCATCACGCTCTTTGCTGGCAGCAGTTCACGGGAAATGCGCTGCGGATCTGAATGGTCCCCGAAACGGCCTCTTACCTGCAGAGTCGACCAAACGTACTGCAAGTGGAAGGTTCTGTTCTGCACGTAGCAGTAGCAGTTTTCATCCTGTTCCTGGATGACATGCATTTCCTGCAGAAAGCTACAGTTCCTACCTGGGGGAGTGGAACAGAAAATTTAATTTTAAGCATGTGACAAGTACAAATGTATAGTTTTCCTCCATGTATGCTTTTTATGCTGAGGGAATCACAATCGATTTGCAGATGATCAAATGTAAAAACCATGCTGCAGGGTAGTATGTTCCATTGGATGCAGGTGAAAATTCAAGTTAAAACACCTAATAGAGTCATTTATGCTCCAGAGTGAACTGCAACACCTTTGGAAAAAACAAAGAGAATTAATCTAGGGTGATATTTTTAAAAACTGTAACCCATAAAAGCTTGGCTTCGGTATCAGCGTTTTGATGGCACTGGAATAGGGCCTCTGGGCCAAACTCACTGCTGGCACGAGTGGGTGTAACTCCACCGGAGCCGATGCCTATACCGATGGTGAATGCAGCCGTGGGAGTCTGAGCAGGTAAACAGGCTTACATATTAAAATAGTCATTTAGCACATGACATGGCTGCTGATGGCAGAAATCATACTGCGAAAAAGCTTACATTTTTTCCCTCGGAAACATAAATAACACGACTCTGCTCTTCAAAACAAATTTTACTGACATGGTCCAGCCGTGACATGTAATAAGGCAAGTGTGCGATAGCTTGCCCTAAGTCGTTTAATGAGGGATGCTGTTCGGTGGAACCCTTGAAATGGTAGTGACCCCCTACGATCTTCAGAATTACATTGCACTTTTGAGCAGAAATGCACCTAAAAGAATTACGGAGCAAACGTTGAAGACTAACGTACACTCCCATCTATACACATGTGTAAAATACACCCTACCGTGCACTGCCGCAGTGTTCCAGGAACGTAATTAAGAGAACAATAAAGGAAATAATTACAGATCTGAACAGAGGGAATCATCTGGCTCAGTGAATAGAAAATGTAGGTCCAAGCCAAGCTCAGTAATAACTGCTGAGGCACTGTCATGCACTAGGAACAGCAAAGTATGTGCAAAACAGTCTCAATCTGGACAAGGAGATGCTGTTTGCAGGTAAAAACCTGCCCCGTCTCTGTAAGGAAGCTGAACTTTGGCTAAATTGGTTTTTAACCCATTTAATTAAGCCAATGAAAAACACCTGTGGATGTTATTACCCGAGTTTATTAAGTCGTTCCAGAATTAAAAGTGTCCGCAGATGATCCCGCTGAAGTAAACTGGTTTAAACTTATAATTGGGGCATTTTTATTGTGACAAATGAACCCTCGGATTGATTTTCATCCAGGGCAAATCCAGCGGGAGGGAGGAGCACCCTTCCGACGGGGGCTGCTGGACCTCCTGA